CCAAGGTGGGAAGGTGGCTGCGGTGTGGCTTCCCACAGACTGAGCCGTGCAGGGCCCCAGCCGTCTCCAGAATGGGGCCCCGTGTCCTGCATCCCTGTGGGTCTGAAGAATCTCAAGCTCCCCAGGAAGGATGGGGGGTCTCTTGGCTGCATCGGGGACGCTGAGCACTGTAGGTCTGGGGGCCAGGGCTGCTCCTGGGTCACCATCCCCAGCCCCACCGTCCCCAACCCCACAGGTGCCCAGCTCGGCTCAGCAAAGGCTCCTGCTCCGTGGGGGTGGGATCTGGGCTGGGGGGGCGCTTCTGGAGGCAGCTGCCCACCCGTTCACACTCTTCCCCCCCAACCCCCCTTGATCTTCCAGGCACAACTTGAAAGACGACAAGAGCAGCTCTTAGTCCCCCTGGCAGCCCCCCGCTTCCCAGCAGGGTCCAGCCCACGCCCGCCCCTGGCGGCACCAGCCTTCGCTTGTGTGGCTCTGAGCACGCGCCTCTCTTCCGTCCTCTTCGGTGTGAAGCCATGGGGGTGAACGCTGGGGGGGGCTGTGGTTGGGGGGGTCACCCCCACCATTCCCCACCCTGCGTGTCTGATCAGGGATGCCAAACGCAATCTGCCTTTTAACTGACCAAAGAAAATGGACCCACGGCGGAGCCAAGCAGGGGGCTGGGGCCTCGTCCTGGCTCTTGGGCACGACCCCAGATGGAGCAGGGGTCAGGCAGCAGGGTGGGACGTGTGTCCCCCCCCCCCCCCCCAAGAACCCCACCTGCCTGGTCCGAAAGGCAGGCCGTGCCCGACGGCACCGCGGGGCAGGAGTTGCTCAGCAGGTCCCAGATGGCACGAGCTGCCCCAGTGTGGTAGAGAAAGCAGCCCAGATCCCAGGGTGACGGGCGCGGGTGAGACCCCCGCCGAGCCGCGGAGGGCAGGGATCCTGTCCTGGGCGGCGAGAGCCCCAATGGGTTTATGGCCCAAGAAGGAAAGTTTCCCCCTCACCCCCTGATATAGCTTCTCCCAACCCTAGACCCTGTTGGAAGAAACTCCCAGCTGCACCCTCCCCTGTACCCAGCAGCGGGGCTCCCAGCCCCATCACAGAACCCACCGGCCCCCTCCGCCCCACTGCAAAATGCAGCCGCTCATGCTCTTCGCTAAGGGTCTAGACACCCCCCCCAACCCCCCACAGTGTTTTGCTCTCTCCAAGGCCCTCATCTTGTTTTTCTTTTTCCCTTCTCTGGGATTTTTTTATTTCCTTGTGCCAACGTCTCGGCTTTTTTACATTATTTATCTCACGTGCCTTTTCATTCTTGTTTTAAAAAGCAGCCGGATCAGGGTGGGAGAAGTGGGCTCCAGGCTGGCTGGAGGGGGCAGGAGGGCTCTGCCCCGTACCCCCGGGCGTGGGGTGAAAGTAGATTTCCTCCGGACGGTGCCCTGGTCCCTCCCCATGGGAGCCGCCCTCTGCTCAAGCCAAAAACTCTCGCACCGTATTTATCCGTATTGTGAAGATGCCGCTTTTCGAGTGTTTGCACCAGGAGCGTCCCCCGCAGCCAGCGCCAGCCGGGCCCCCCGCAGCCGGACTCAATCGCGCCCGCTGCCTGTGGGGCAGGGCCCACGTCTGCCAGGCTGGCACCCTTGTAACCCGCCTCTGCCAATAAAAGCGAGCAGCCGACTGGCCCAGCAACGTCCGTTTCACCTCGCGGGCTGGTCACAGGGGAACCTCCCACGTTCGATGGGGCCTGTCCAACGTCCCAGCCCCCGGGGCGCCCCCCATGGGGTTCGGGTCTGGTTCTCAGCTACCCCAGCCCTGGTAGGGACCTGCCCTGGGGCTGGGCGGAGGCTAGATGCCACCACCCTATCTCCTGGCGAGTTGCCTGCTGTACCCGCGCTATCTGCCCTCCTGCGCCAGGGCCGGTGGATCCGAGCTGTGGGAACTGGGTCTGATGGAGGGGGAGGGGGCGGCCCCCCCCGGCTCTCCCCCTTCCCCCTGGGAACAAGCCGGGCCCATGTTAATAGTGTTGCCGATTTGAAGGTTAAATCTGTAGATCTGGGCCAGGCCTGGCCTCGCTCCCCTTCTCCCCCCGCCCCGGCCAACCTTGGCCCCGGTACCAGGGCCGGGCAGAACTGGCTTTCACCTGACAACAGCACTGCCGAAAGGGATTGCGGCTCACGCTTCAGGGCTCGGGCCTGGCTGGAATGCAGGGGGCCGGCTCATCCCCCCGCGGCGGCCTGGTTTTGGCCCCTGGCGGAGACAGGCTCAGTGGGGCCTGGCCAGCTGTGCCCGGGCCAGGCCCTGCCCTAGAGTAACAGCCCCTCTGCCCAGCAGCTGCCCCCGGCGCGCCCGTGGGGTGGGCTGAGCCGCCGGAGGGCTGCAGTGAAGCAGCCTAAGCCGGGTTAACAGGCCGTAGGCGGCCTGCGGCTGTCCCCGAACAATCCTTGGGCTCTCTGCACCCCGTACGTGCCCACGGGCGCTGAGCCCGACCCCCTGCCGAGCCGCAGCCGGCTGGCGCGTGCCCAGGGATTACAGCCCCTAATCCCCTCCCCTGCCCCCCTGCTCCTGCCAATCGCGGCTCCTCCGGTGCCTTTCAGCTGCCCCCTGGGAGGAGCTGTGGCTCTGGGCTGAGGCGGTGGGGCAGCGATTCCCTCTCTGCCCCTGTTTCCTTGCCAGGGATCCCCTCCCTCCAGCTCTTTGCTAACTCAGCCCCTTCCCCGTGCTGGGGGGTTGAAGGGGAGCCCCCAGCACAAACCATTGCCAAGGTGCTGGGCCCGCCGCAGCGGGAGGAAGGGGAGACACGGGTGAGAACGGCAGGCGGGGCCCAGAGCCCAACAGGGGATGCTGCCCCCAGTCCATGCCCGCTCCACCGTGGGATGGACCCTGGGGGGCTTGTCTTGGGCCCCACCCCTCTAAGGCAGGCTGGAGCAGGGGAAGGAGGTCTCACCATGCCCAGAGCCGCTCCTGTGTGGGCCCCGATCCATGGCGGGTTGGGGGCTAGCCCACGAGTGTCAAGTTGTGTCTGCATGGCCTCACCCCTGTGGGTTCCACCTGTGACTGGCCCATGGGTCCCAACCCTCAGCCCCAGGGGGGAGGAAGCTGCCCTGTTTCACAGGGGAAACTGAGGCACAGGGTGGGCACAGCCCCACTGAGGGTGTGGAAGTGGCGGGGGAGCTGGTTTGGGTGGCACCCAGCCCCCAGCAAGGATTTATGCTCCAGGCCAGTGGAGCCAGACTCACTCCCTCGGGGAGGCTGTGAAGGGGGCATTGCATCCCCCCCCATCTCCCCACCAAGTCCTAAACACCCCTCTTCTCTGTGCCCTCCAGAGCTGCTGGGCTTGGCCCCTCCCTTCTGCCCCCCCACCCCCCGGCTTGGCCTGGTTCATGGAGCTGCGCCATGAGCCCCGACCCCTGCTCAGCGCTGCTGGGCACCCAGCCAGGCCAGCTCGTTAATAATAATATACGGAGAAACCCGCTTCATGGGACTGCGGGGGGGGGGGGGGCATAGCTCGGCGATGACCGCGGGCCTCAATCCAACCCTTAATCAAGCCGTGACGGAGGACCAGCCAGCTGGACTTTTCCATCAACCCCTGCTTAGCTGGCAGGGCTCGGCCCAGGGCCAGGGCCGGGCAGCCCCAGCCTGGCCCTGGCACTTTCATTTACACTCAGGGTAATTTCCAGGTGCTAATTAACCCACGCAGCTCCTCGGGGGGCTGAGGGATCTCACTGCAATGCAGCCACCTCTGGGGTAGCCCACAGCAGCTGCTTAGACAGAGATTGCGGCACTGGGAGGCAGCCACCTCTGGGGTGGGCCACAGCAGCTGCTTAGTCAGAGATTGCAGCACCCAGCACTGGGAGGCAGCCACCTCTGGGGTGGGCCACAGCAGCTGCTTAGGCAGAGATTGCAGCACCCAGCACTGGGATGCAGCCACCTCTGGGGTGGGCCACAGCAGCTGCTTAGGCAGAGATTGCGGCACCCAGCACTGGGATGCAGCCACCTCTGGGGTGGGCCACAGCAGCTGCTTAGGCAGAGATTGCGGCACCCAGCACTGGGATGCAGCCACCTCTGGGGTGGGCCACAGCAGCTGCTTAGGCAGAGATTGCAGCGCCCAGCGCTGGCTCACTGAAGCTGGCAACACTTCACAGCAGCATAGGAGCTGCAACAAATCGTCGGCTGAATTTAAACCGGGGGGGGGCACCTCCCAAAAGTCCCGTCCCCCCCACAAACATTACTGGCCACAAGGAGCCAGCACACCAGGGTTTATCTGAATGCTGGCACCGCTGCCTAGGCCTGGGGGGGAGGGGTCAGAGGTGAGAGTGCCCCCCACTCCCTGCCGCACAGCCCCCCCCCCTCCTAGCTCTACATTGGGGTCACAGCCACCCCAGCACCGTAGCCTGCATCACCCAGCTGCGTACTGTGCCCTCTGCCCATGGCCAGCGGAGCAGCCCCCCGGCCACTGCCCCCCCACACACACACTTTGGGGGGGGTTAGGGAAGCAGTGTGGCCTAGTGCTGAGGGGGGGGAGCTCGGACACCTGGGTTCTATTCCCACGCCAGGAGGGGGTGGGTGCTGGAGGAGGCGACATCAGGGCACCTGGGGTCCATTAGTCCTGGGGCCTAGTTGGGGGGCTGGGAGTCAGGACTCCTGGGTCCCAGGCCCAGCGCTGCGGCTGAGATCCCGGTGCCATCTGAGCAGAGGAAAGGGCCCTGCCTGGTGCCCATGGGCCCATCTCTCTCAGCCCTCACCTTCATCAACCCCTGCGTTCACACAGCTCCAGGCCCCCTGTGCTTTGGGGGGGTTCCTCTGGCGGGGGGCACCGTGCTGTGGGCCTGGCCTGGCTCCCTGGTGCATGCCTGGCATCGCTGGCCCCTCGAGCTTGCCTCTAAGAAAAGCCCTGGAGCAGGGGCGGGGGGGGGGGGAAGCTGTCACTTCTGACAATGAATGATGCTCCCATTTTTAGCCCCCCCCCTTGTCCCCCCCCCCCCCAACTGCCCTTATCTAGCATTGCTACAGCCTGACGTCACTCCGGGTTATTTAAGCCGGGCCAGGCAGGGCCAGCCCCACGCTGGGACTTCACCAGGGCCCTGCAGCCTCGTCTGCCAGCCCCGCTCACCCGGGCACGCGCCGCTGGGCCCAGCCGCCATGCCCCCCAAGAAGGAGCTGCCCGTGAAGAAGCCGGTGGCCCCGCCGGCCAAACCGGCCGCCAAACCGGCCATAGCCAAGCCAGCGGCTGCTGCAGCTAAGCCCAAAGCCCCCGAGCCGGCGGCAACCCCAGCCCCGGCACCAGCCCCGGCACCAGCCCCAGAGACGCCCAAGGAGCCACCGATTGACCTCTCTAAAGTGGTGGTATGTGGGGGCTGCAAAAGGGGGAGGCAGAGAGAGCAGGGGGTGCATGGGGCCAGGACTGGGCCTGGGGGGGGGGGGGTGTCCCTCGCCCCATGAGGTAGCAACGCCAGGAGGTGTAAACCTGCCGCGTGAGTGGGACGGGGAGCTGCGTGGCCGGATGGCACAGAGCCACGGGCAGACACGCTGCCCCAGAGCCCCCGGCCTGGCCTGCTCTACTGCACCCAGTTTGCCACAGGCAGGCCAGATAAGAAAATGCCCCCCCGCCAGATCACCCCCCACACACCTGCTTCCTCGTGGCCCAAATACTGACCACCCCTCCAGCGCCTGCATTTGCCGTGAGTGGGATGGTGCCCCCTACACCTAGTGTGCCCCCCCCGAAAGGGAAGTGAGCTGCCCTCCAGAGGCTTAATGGGGGGCAGGGGGATCCCCCAGGCTCCATCAGGGACACAGCGGCTCCCCCCCCACCAGTGGGGAAGGGCCAGTATTAGCCTATTTACAGATGGGGAAACTGAGGCAAGGGCAGGGGCTGTGACTTGCCCAATGTGAGTTAATGGCAGAGCTGGGAAGAGAACCCAGGAGTCCAGATGCCCTGCCCCCGCGACTCCAGTTCTCTCCTGGAGCTGGGAACAGAACCCAAGAGTCCTAGCTGCCATCCCACCCCTGGGTCTAACTACTCCCGCCCCCACAGTGCTGTCCCTCCGCTGGGTGCTCAGCAGTGGGGCTGAGGTGTGGGGGGGTCAGTGGAGTGGCTGTAGCAGGGGGACTCACTTCATCTAACTGGGGCTCAGCTAAGCAGCCAGAGACCAGCTCCTGTCTTCTAGCCATGGTGCCCGGACCGGGGGCGAGGGGGGGGTCTGGTGGGTTGGATCAGAGAGGGCTGGGAGCCAGGACTCCTGGGTTCTAGCTCTAGCTTGTTACTGGCTGTGTCCAACAATGGCCAGAGCCTCCACGCAGGAAGGAGCGAGACTGGGGGCCCGGGGGGCTGTTAGACAGTCACAGCTGGGAGGGGGGGCGAGCTCAGGTCATTGGGGCAGGATAAATTTAGGCAGTGAGCTGGCCCTGTTATTTTAATGACAGTCTAGAATGGGGGGGGGGCGAGAGCCTGGCGTGGGCCTGCATTCCCAGGCTGGGGACAGGTGGCTGCGGCCAGGGGGATTAGCACCCCCTTTTCCAGGCAGATTTATTTCAGCCCCAGTACTGGGCACCGCTTTGCCACGCCGAGCTAAAGGGTCAAGTTGTGGCTGGGGGGGGGGGGCTCAACCGGCCGCGCCTCTGTGTGGGGGGCACAGAATGCAGGAAAATTCCTAAGGCAGTGAGGTAGGGCCCCCTATAAAGAGTGTGACCAGGGAGGGGGCAGATCAGGCCCTTATATGAACTCAGCCGCATGCGTGGCCCCCCTGCTGACAGAGGCTGGGGCCGGCGAAACTGGGCACCCCCCAGCCAGGGCCCCACCCGGCTCCCCACAGTGCCCCCTGCTGGCAGAGCCTGGGGCGGGCGAAACTGGGCACCGGCTCCCCACAGCGCCTCCTGCTGGCAGAGCCTGGGGCGGGCGAAACTGGGCACCCGCCCCCCCGCCCCCCTACAGCCAGGACCCCTGCCCTCCTCCTGGCAGCACCCCCTGCTGGCAGAGCCTGATGTCAGCCAGGTGAGGACCAAGGCTCCCCACATCCCCTGGCAAGACATTTAGTGGGGGTCAGGCTGGAGGGGCCCTGGGGGGACCAAGCTTGGCCCCTGCAGCAGAGAGCTGGTGGGTAATACCAGGAGCGTTCCCCCCATGGCACCCCCTGGTCTCATGCAGCTCCCCCCAAATCTTTTGTTAATGTCCCTGTTTCTGTCCCTTCCTCTTTGCAGATTGAGTTTAGCAAGGACCAGCTGGAGGGTAAGTCAACCGGCCTCATGTCTGTGTAGCTGCGGGGGGGATCGCTCTTCAACCAGCCTTCACCCACCTCTGGCCCTGCTAAATCCAGCCCCTTCCCCCACTTACGCGGTTCTGCCTTGAGCCTTTGTCCCCAACAAGCTCTTGTCAGTTGCTAACCCATCCCCGGGGAGCGGAAACCCTAGTCATGTGGCATTTTCCATTACCTAGCCTGCCATGGGGCAGGACCTGGGTGTGGGGTGCATGGCTGGGCCCCCAACCTCAGCGCTGGGCTCTGCCCAGGGAGCTCTCTCAGTGTGGAGGTGTCGGATTAAGAGGCAAGCATCTGGCTGGCAGCTCCTGGTCTCTGAACCAGCCGGGCGCCTCTTGAAACTCGTCCCAGTCTTGTAGGTAAAATACAATTCCTGAGGGAGGCGGAGGAGCTGGGATTTGAACTCCTGGCCTCCTCCCTCCAGTCTGGGCCCGATCCTGGCCTGAAGCAGGCAGGTTAGACGGGCAGAGGATGTCCGGTTCCAGCCCCTCTGACCTGCTCTGCCCCCCCACCCCCAGATTACAAGGAGGCTTTCCAGCTCTTCGATCGAGTTGGGGACGGCAAGATTATGCTGAGCCAGTGTGGGGATGTGCTGCGGGCCCTGGGCCAGAACCCCACCAACGCCGAGGTCATGAAGGTGCTGGGCCACCCCAAGCCCGATGGTGAGCGAGCGGCCTCAGCAGCTGTGGGGCTGGGGTGGAGGGTGGGATGTGGTTCGGGCGCTATCAGCCTATGCCCAAAGCCCCAGCTTCTGGAGTCACGTGGCATTGCAGCCCCAGCTTGCACTGTGAAAAGGGAAGCAAGGGTGGCTGCGGGGGAAAAGCCTGGAATCCAGTGTAACGGCGTCTGTCTGAGTCTGCAGAGAGCCTGAAACCGTTGCTGCAAAGGGAGAACGGAATTGCCCCACGCATCTCGGAGGGGTGTTACTTCCAGACCCCCACTGTGCTCTGGGGGGCTCTCACCAGCCCCACCCGAGCTGCGGATTGTGTGTGTGGTGGGAGTGGGTCTGGACCCCTAAGCTTTCAGAGACCCCTGACTACTGGGGTTAGCAATGGGGGTCCTCCTTTGGGTTTGGTTGGGCTATGTGATGTGGGGGGGGCATCAGGGGCCCCATGCGGTGCCATGGGGGGCCAGACTGCCTTCCTCCAGCCACATGGTAGGGTGGCTGCATGGCAGGGTCCTCGGGGGCTCAGCCTGGCCTCAGTTTCTCCCTCCCACGGCAGAGCTGAACTCCAGGCGGGTGGAGTTCGAGCAGTTCCTGCCCATGCTGCAGACCATCTCCAAGAACAAGGACCAGGGCACCTACGAGGACTACGTGGAGGGGCTGCGGGTCTTCGACAAGGAGGGGAACGGCACCGTCATGGGGGCTGAGCTGCGCCATGTGCTCTCCACACTGGGTGAGCGCTGCCTGCCGGGGCAGAGGGGCCCCAGCCACAGGGCAGCCCCCAAGACAGGTGCCCCCTAGGCTGGCGAGGCTCAGCAAGTCAGGGGCAGGGTCACACGGGTACAGCGCCAGGTCAGGGGCACCCCACCCGGGACAGGGCCTCCCCCAGGGCTGTCGGTGTGATACCTGGCAGGGACAGGGCCCCCTGGGCACTGGGTGACGGGGGGGAACGAGGCCCTCCCAGGGCTCTCAGTCTGGCACCAGGTGGGTGAGCAGGGCCCCCCAGAGTGGGCAGGAGCAGGGGGGACGCCCACCCCCAGGGCTGTCGGTCTGGTACCTGGCAGGGACAGGGCCCCCCGGGCTGATGGGTGGGCACCGGATGTAGGGGAACATCTCCCCAGCACTAACATGCTGCCCCCTCTGGCCGCAGGTGAGAAGCTGACGGAGGAGGAGGTGGACGCCCTCCTGTCTGGGCACGAGGACGCCAACGGCTGCATCAACTACGAAGGTGAGAGCCCGGAGTCGGGGACCCTTCAGCTGCGGGGGCCAGGAAAGGAGGGGGTGAGGCTCCCAAGGGTGCCTCAGGGGGCCCAGTTCCTCTGCCTAATGCCACTCTCCTCCCCCCACAGCCTTCGTCAAGCACATCCTGTCTGGCTGAGCGGGTGCCGTGGGGTAGGTGCCCCCCATGGGGAGGAGGGGCTTTTACTTTTCTGACTCTGTTTTGGGGGGTGGCTGCTCCTTTCTCCCCTCTTTGCCATGAGAGTCCCAGGGGCCTCAGTGGCCTTTGCCCCTTGGCCGGGACCCGGGTGAACCATCTCCGTGCCCGGCGGATCAGCTCTAACGTGTGTGTCAAATCCCACTGCCCTGGAAGAGGCTTGTGTTTTTGGGGCTGCTGCTACCACCCCCAGCACCTCCCAGCAGCAGACTTCCGAGTGCAGGAGCCTTAGCCCTGTTCTGCAGATGGGGAAACTGAGGCACAGGGACTTACTCTGCTGCCAGCTGAGGTCCAATGCCATCAGACAGGCACGAGTCATTCAACTTCTCCTCTAGCTCCTCCCTGCAGTGCCATATCCCTCACGGGGAACCGAGCCTGCCCCCAGGGGGACAGCCTAGCCCAGACCAACGCCTCTTGGGGGGCCCTGGGAGCTCTGTCCAGGGCACTGGAGTGGAAGGGCCCCATGCAAAGTGGGGCAGCGTGGCTTTGCTTTAATTACTCAGGATAGGGCATCCCGACATCCTGCGGGCCCAGCCCATGCCCTGAGTCAAATCTGCTGGCCCAGCCGTGCTGGGAGCACGATTCCCTCCAGCCTCTGCTCCAGGGGATGGAGATTCAGAACAAACCTGAGCTCTGGGCCTGGATCCTTCCTGCCCCCCGCCCCCCCCATGGGATCCCCGCTCCCCCACCCTGAACCCTGACTCCAAAGGCCACGCCCGCGACTCACTGTCTCCTCTTCTCTCCCCAGACCGGGCAGGATGGGGCTAAGCAACTGATGCCACCTCAGACATTACTCTGCAGGGTGGGGGCATGTTCCCTGCCCCCTTTGTCTCTCTCTTTAACCCGCCCCCCCTGCCCCCCAATGGCTGCTGCAAGGGACTTCTACCACTGCCCAAGGGAGCGCCCAAGACCTCAGGACGCCAGCGGCTGAAGATCGAGCGAGGAGGGGGGGGGTGCAGGCTCCCCCCGAGAGCAGCAGCCCAGCCTGGGGGTGCCCACCGAGCTGAGCCAGGGTCCCGATCCTGGGCGGGAAGGGACCCAATCCTCCTTGTGCCCGTCCTGCATTTGGACAATAAAAACCATTTGTTTGCAGAAGCTTCTGGCCCCTTGGGTCTTGGCCACAGGGGCCATCTCAGCATCCCTGACTCTTTCTTGAGACCCTGAGCCCTGGGGGCGGGGGGCTGTACTTGGGTTGCAGAGTTCTGCATACACGGTCAATGCGGGGGCGAGGTGGAAGGGCCAAGCGCAGGAGCACAGGCTGGAAAAGGCCCAGGGGCTGGCCCCGCAGGGCCCTCAGGGTGTCCTTGCGCCCGGCCCAGTGATTTCATTCCCACGCAGAAAGCAAGAGTTGGGAAATCAGCGCCAGGTCCCCCCTGAAAGGCTCCGCGGCAGGGCAGGGCGGAGGCAGGAGCCACCCGCCCCAGCTAAGGCCTGAATTGCAAAGCGCGACAATTTATAGCAGGAGACGAGCCCCCCGGGAGGCGTTATGCCGGCGGAGCCATGGCACGGTCCGGTCGCACCGGGTGCTGGCGGAATGCCCTGTGGAGACAAGCTGGTCTCCGGTGCCCAGAGCCAGGGCATGGCAGGGGCCCCGGAGGATTGCAGGGAATGCAGCCGCCATGTCCTGTTTGTTAGGGGGTGAAAGGTTGGGCCTGGAGTAGCGGGGATCTGCCCCGCGCCCCATAGCGCCCCCTGCTGGGGGTGAGAATTCCTACCCGTCTCGGGCTGTTTCCCCGCACTCAGACTTCACACGCGGCTCTCGTCTTATTTATTTCTTCTTTTGCTGGGGCCTCAGGTCGCCGGCTCAGGGGAGCGAGTCCCAGAAACTGTCGTCAGCCCAGGTGGGGTGTCACTCAGCGAGAGCCTGCGGGGTTCACAATCGCCAGCTGGGAGAATGAACCCCATTAAAAGGGACAGGCAGGCGCTGCCCCTGTTCCCAGCCCCTGCAGAGGGGTTCCTGGTCTGTCAAATGAAACTCTCCTTGCTTCCTGTGCGCCCCCAAACCCCGCTGGGACCCTCCCTGCTCCCCCCCGCTGGGACACTCCCTGCTCCCCTGTGCCCCCAACCCCTTCCCCCCGCTGGGACCCTCCCTGCTCCCCTGCACCCCCAACCCCCTCCCCCCGCTGGGACCCTCCCTGCTCCCCTGCGCCCCCCCCACTGGGACCCTCCCTGCTCCCCTGCGCCCCCAACCCCCTCCCCCCGCTGGGACCCTCCCTGCTCCCCGTGCGCCCCCAACCCCCTCCCCCCGCTGGGACCCTCCCTGCTCCCCCCCGCTGGGACCCTCCCTGCTCCCCTGCGCCCCCAACCCCTCCCCCCGCTGGGACCCTCCCTGCTCCCCCCGCTGGGACCCTCCCTGCTCCCCCTGCGCCCCCAGCCCCCTCCCCTCGCTGGGACCCTCCCTGCTCCCCCTGCGCCCCCAGCCCCCTCCCCTCGCTGGGACCCTCCCTGTTCCCCCTGCGCCCCCAGCCCCCTCCCCTCGCTGGGACCCTCCCTGTTCCCCCTGCGCCCCCAGCCCCCTCCCCCCGCTGGGACCCTCCCTGCTCCCCCTGCGCCCCCAGCCCCCTCCCCCCGCGCCCCCAGCCCCCTCCCCCCGCTGGGACCCTCCCCTGCTCCCCCTGCGCCCCCAGCCCCCTCCCCTCGCTGGGACCCTCCCTGCTCCCCCTGCGCCCCCAGCCCCCTCCCCCCGCTGGGACCCTCCCTGCTCCCCCTGCGCCCCCAGCCCCCTCCCCTCGCTGGGACCCTCCCTGCTCCCCTGCGCCCCCAGGCCCCTCGGCAAGGCCCCCCCTCGGTGTCTACAGGCAAAGCGGGGGCGACTCAGCCCAGCCCCGCCCCACCGCTGGGCCCGGTCATGAATAATGCAGCAACTAATTAGCATAAGAAGTGACGCGCGGCCCGCCCTCGGGCCGCTCCCGGCGCGCGGATGTCTGGGGCGTGACGTCAGAGCCAGTAGAAAGGGGCCGGCGGAGGCGAGTCCGCGCAGGGGCCATTGCGGGGAGCGGAGCCGGCGCAGCAGCAGCCATGGTGGGGCGAGCTCCGGGCTGGCGGGGGGGTGCGCAGGGCTGGCGGCGGGGTGCAGCGGCCGGGGGAGTGCGCTCCGGGGGGGGCAGGGTGCAGAGGGCTGGCGGGGGGGTGCAGCGGCCGGGGGGGGGGGTGCGCAGGGCTGGCGGGGGGGTGCAGCGGCCGGGGGAGGGGCACGGTTAGGTTCCAGCCTCCCGAAGCCAGGGACATCCCCGGGATCTGACTCCCAGCCCCCCCCCCCCCGGGAAGGAGCCCCTGGCCGGGGCTGGGGGCGCAGCGCTTGTGGGGTGCGGGGCTCGCGCTCTGGGGAAAGGGGGGCCCGGGCAGCCCCGCTGACGGCGGTCCCCCTGTGCTTGCCTTGCAGTGCGATTTCACCGAGGATCAGACGGCCGGTAAGTGCCCCGTCCGCCCCGCCCCGCTTCTTTGCGCGACCTCCGCCCTTGCGCGCTATTTTCACTTCCGGGGGGTTGCGAATCTCTTGCGCGTCCCGCCGCCGCGGAAGGACTCACCGCTCTCTCTCCCTCCCTTGTAGACCTTCCTCCTCCTCCTCTGTCACTAGCCTTCACCCTCCTCCTGTAGCCTTTCTAGCCGCCGGCCGGTAAGTGGGGCAGGGCCTGTGTGACTGCCCCCCCCTTAACACCGGGCCCCTCGCTTCTGGGGCGGGGGTGGGGGGAATCTCTGCGGGCTGCCTTAGGCTGTTGCTGCTGTGGGGTCCCGAGCTCCCTCCCCCGGCTAGGGCCCCCCAACTCTGGGTCTGGGGGTGACTCACCGCTCCCTGACCCCCCCCTACCCCCGTGCGCGCATGGCTCACCCGTGAGCAGGTTCCTGGCCAAGCCCGGCAGGCGGGACCCGCCCAGCCTGCGAGCCTCCCCGCCGCATTCCCCTAGCCGGGCCGGATTGGGTTGGGGGGGTAGCGCTGGCTTTAGGGGCGCTCTGTGGCCCCCCCCGCTTGTGGGTTGCAGGGGGGTGGGGTGCGGCAGGCTGCGGGCGGGTTGGGATTGCGCAGGGGGAAATGGCTGCAGAGCTCCGCTCTCTGCTCCAGGTTGTGGCAAACTCCCAGCTGAGCCGCCGCCCCCCCCCCCCCCGTGTCTGGGGGAGGGGGACACACCCGGAGCTGGGGGGGGGCGCCCCACGGGTCGCGGGTGGAATGTTGGATGCGCAGCGCAATCCCTGCGCGGTGCCTTGCGCCGACTTCCTTATATGGGCACAAAACCCCGGCCGAGCGCAGGCTGCGCCCCGCCCCGGCGGGAAGTGGGGGGGGGGGGGCCAGCCGTTCGCGGCAGGGCTCGGCCAGCCCGGGGGTGGGGGGCTGTGGGTCTCTGCGAACCCACCGGCCAGACCCTCCCTGGGTCCCTTTGCTGGTGTTTGCTTTAGCTAAAGCAGGAAGTGTGCTAAGGACAGAGGGAGTGAGCCCGGACTCCTGGGTTCTTTCCCTAGCTCTGGGAGGGGAGTGGGGTTTAGTGTAGCGGCTCTGTCCCCCTTTCAGGCGTCAGATTTGTCTCTTGTACCCCAAGTTTCACCTCCCTTGCAAAATCTGACACAAATCTGTCACAGCCACACCGTTTCCGAACAGTGGCCGACTTTCTCATTATGACCATATGATTACAGATCCATCAGCTGGAATATAAACACTGTACTGACCTCTCAGTGTGTGGGGTACGGAGCTGTATCAACAAGGCATTGTCTGTATGAAATCGTAGTTGGTCCTGGCTTCGGGTTTTCTATTGCCTGTTGTAAAACTAGGCAAATAACTAGATGAGCTGATGTACTCCCTGGAAGATCTCTGGGTACCCCCAGGTTATGGGTACCCCCAGGGTACGGGCACCCTTGGTTGAGCGCCACTGGGCTAGTGGGTTAGAGCGGCTGGGGGTAGGGGGCGGGCTGGGAGCCAGGACTCCTGGGTTCTCTCCCGAGCTCCGGGAGGGGAATGGGCATTATGCCTCTGTTCCATTCCCATCTCTGCAGCTGGCTGCGGGCCGGGGCTCTCTGGTCCCCACTCTGTGCTTCGCTTTCCCCCTCTGGAAATCTCGGTTCGCTCCCCTGAGGCTGTAACGCCTGTGGAGGGGCTGGGCAGAGCCTGTCTCCGTGGAGGTGTCCCGTGGTCGAGTCCCTGATACGAAACCCACCAGGGCTGGCCCTCGCAGTGAGCGGGTGAACTCAAAGGCTGACCTTAGAGTTAATTACGGGGCCAGGGTGAGGGCGGCCCTGGGACCGAGAGGCGCTAACCTGCTAGCCAGGGTGGATGCAGCGTCAAAGGCAAGCGGATCTGTCCCCCTGGGTACAGCGAATGGGCAGCTCCCCACAGGCGACCTGGTTTCTCTCAGAGTCTGTGTCCAGGAAACCGGATCCTACGAGGAAAGGAAATGTTACCCTGGGCCCGCTGCTCTGTTTTTCTCCACCAACCGGCTGAATTTCTAGGAGGGGAACTTGGAAGGAAAGGGGGGGAGGGGAGGCCCATAAACTCTTAGGCCAGGAGCAGATATAGCTAGTTTTGCCCCTGAGGTGGGGCTGGTGCAGCAAGACAAAGTGACTTGTCCCTGGGAGTCTGGGGCAGAGCCGGGAACTGGAGCCAGGGCTCCGGTCCGGTGCCTTATCCCTGAGGCCAGGCGTCCTGTCTAGTGCGGGTTGCTGCGGAAGGCGGGATACGAGACCTCTGGGGCTGGGAGTCCAGGCTGAAGCTCTCGGGAACCCTGATGGGTGAATTATCGAGGGCTCTTGTCTCTTATTGAGCTGAAGCTCCTGTTTCCCTATGGGCCCCCGGCTGCCTGGCAGGGGGGCTGGGGCTGAGTCTGCTGCCCCTGCCGCGTGCTCGTGGGGCTGGAGCTGGCTGGGTACCAGGCAGATCAGGGCTGGCCAAGGCGGGTTTGTCGGCACGTGTTTGAACCGAGGGGCACTGGCCCCCCCCACAGGTGGGATTGGCACCTGGGGCCACGCTGACACCCTCCCTGCTCTTCCCCCCCCCCTCTAGAGTTCAAGGAGGCTTTCCAGCTCTTTGACCGAATCGGGGATGGCAAGATCCTATACAGCCAGTGCGGGGACGTGATAAGGGCCCTAGGCCAGAACCCCACCAACGCTGA